TATTAAATTGTCGGTGCCGGTATTTGGGCCTCTTTTGCCCAATCGGTCAACTCTGGGCCTTTTCACGACCCAAATAAAATATCCACCACTATATAAATATTATTTCGACCCATAAGAATGATTTATGTGATCTCGGGAATATCGGGCGGCCCCCCGCTCCCGGTGTGGGTCCCACGTGCAATTTACTATTCACGCGAAAGAAATAATAAAAATTTACAACTTCGTAAATTCATTAATCCTTTAATAAGGTTCAATACATTATTTACATAAAAGTAAATATATTTGGGGACGGTGTTACAATTACGAAAATGCCACCGCGTCCAAATTTTTCCAGGTTTCCGTAACTATTTTTTTGCGGTGGCATTTTCGTGATTATTTTCGAGGGGTCTATAAGCTACGATTTATTGGTTAAAAGTTTCTATATTTAGTCTATAAGTTTAACTTCGCAGTTCTCAGCCTAAGAACACTTCTCACCTGATCCGCTCTCTCTCTCTCTATATATATATATAGACACTCTCTCTCTCTATATATATATATATATAGAGTGTCTATATATATATATAGTGTCTATATATATATATATATATATATATAGAGAGAGAGAGAGAGAGAGAGAGAGAGAGTAGTGTTCCTGTCACGACCTCCAAAAACGGACCTCTGTACGGACCTCGGCGTTTTGGCCCCTTCCCGATGGAATTTTTTGATGAAATTTTTTGAGCATGTTCTTCATCAAGTCTGGTTTACCCATACCAAATTTCAGCTAAAAATTGCATTGGTAAGGCAGTCAAATGATTTTTTGAAGTTAACTGCGCACTTAATATACATATAAAATGCAGTTAACTTCCAAAAATTATTTGACTGCCTTCCCTATGGAAGTTTTAGCTGAAATTTGGTATGAATAAACTAGACTTGATGAAGAACATGCTCAAAAAATTTCATCAAAAATTCCACCGGGAAGGGGCCCAAACGCCGAGGTCCGTACGGAGGTCTGTTTTTTGGGGTCCTAACAAAAAATTTCATCAAAAAATTCCACCGGGAAGGGGCCCAAACGCCGAGGTCCGTACGGAGGTCTGTTTTTTGGGGTCCAAATTCAATTGGGAAGGCATTCAAATAATTTTTTGAAGTTGACTGGGTTTTTATATGTATACTTTGACGCAGTCCACTTCAAAAAATTATTTGAATGTCTTCCCGATCGAATTTTGTGCTAAAATTTGGTAAGGATAAATTATACTTCATGAAGAACATGCTCAAAAAACTTCACCAAAAAATTCCATCGGGAAGTGCCCGAAATGCCCTCGGCCGGACGGCGGTTCCCGCCAGGCTGGCTGGACAAGAAAAGGACTCTATATATATATATATATATATATATATATATATATATATATATATATATATATATATATAGAGAGAGAGAGAGAGAGAGAGAGAGAGAGGAATGTTCATGTCAGGCCGGCCTGACGGGCTGCTACGTCCGGCCGAGCAAGTTTGGGCACCTTCCCGGTGAAATTTTTTGATGAAATTTTTTGAGCATGTTCCCCATCAAGTCTAGTTTGTCCATACCAAATTTCAGCTCAAAATTCGATCGGGAAGGCATTCAAATCATTTGGCAAATTCTCTACATCAAAACAGTGTCAAGCAGTGCCAAATAGTGTCCAAACAGTGTCAAACTGTGTTTGAACAGTGCACTCCACAGTAAAGTCAAATTTATTTTCTTAATCTGTGTGAAATCAAAGTGTGAAGTTAATTGCGAGAAGGAGGGAGTATTAAGAATACACTATAGCTTGATAAGAGAGTAACTTTGGAGGGTGGAGCTTGCCGCGGCCTGTAGGCTACTACTGTGCTATATTATTGCCGCGGCTTTGGCTCCGTATACCTTAGGCACTTTATTATTTGATTGGACATGTGTACTATACCTTTGGACAGGTGTATTATCAATACAGAGTATTTTTGGGGCCTTAGGCTTTGTGGAAACAGTATGTACGCTTTAGGCTTTACTCTACTGAGTCTAGTCTTTAGTTGTACTTTTTTAAAATTCAAATACGTATAAATACGGATTTATACGAGTATTATACGTTTTACCTTTAAAATACGCGTATTTTAACGAATTTTTGGGAAAAATACTTAAACGGATGTTTTATACGCGTATTATACGTTTAAGCGTATTATACGTGTATTATACACGTATTAACTAACAAAGATATCACCTATACCGCCTCACTAAATGCTAGGATTACAAAGATTCAAGAAGCAGTTTTAGAACCGAAGAACTTTGTTTTTTAAATGCTACATTCATATGCAGTTTATGTATCTATTGATTTGGTCATCTTTTTTTTTAGTTTGCTTGCAAGCTGCTTAGAAGTATTCTTCCAGAAGCTTAATCAAGGTAATTCCATAAGTCTTAGTTACTTCATATACAGAAGTTATTACATGAAATCTAATCACATTGAAAACATTAAACTTTAAGTTAAAGATGGTGTTGGTAGTTTGGTTTGATTTGATTTTGACATTCCAACTTGATATAAAATATATATCATTTCATTTTCATTTTCATTTACCCCAGTGCCACAAAGGCTCCCACCTACGGTGGGGTAAGGGAGAGTCGGATGTACGCAGTCTTACCCTTGTACTAAAGCACAGAGAGACTGTTTCTGGATGACCCATAGTGAAAATCGCGTCCAAAATTGCATGGACTGACTGCTGCTTCATAACAAAGAAGCGCAGTCAGTTTAGTGAGTCATGTTGCTTTATTCCATCATATTCTCAAGCCAAACAATAATGAATCTTTGACTCCATTGCAAATGATATATATAAAATATATATCACTAGTTGATATAATAATGGCAAAAGAAACAAAAGTACCCCTCAACTATAGGTAGGGGAACAGATATACCCCTCTTCTATTTATTTGAACAAAAATACCCCTAAATCTGAACATGGGTCTAATAATACCCTTCTTTAACGTTTCCTAACGTTTCCTTTGTCCAGCTCCCGTCAACCTAAATAAACTCTCCACTTTGAACGCACGTAGGCATGGGAACTCAGGAAGGCTTTGAACGCACGATGAAAAACATGAAGAACACTAGCACACCATTTTAATTACTCTTGTAAAACAACGAATCAAAGATAGTTCTCATCTATGTTTTATTTCATTTTTCGAATTGTATTTTCTGTGATTTTGATTTCTTTAGGTCTGAGTTGAATATCTTCTTGTTCGTGTCGCAAAGACCTGTGTTTTGTTGAACTTTCTGCCCTGCAAATGAAACATTCAGTGGAAAGAGTATGTTGAGTATCATATATAGGCCCTACATATGTGTGTGTATTATACGCATCACTGTATCGACTACAATCTTCCCTGATATGATGCATCAAATCAACTCTATTTTGTGAATTTTCTATTATCTATTTCATGTTTTTCTTCTACTAGGTGCTTGCTTCTTCTTAGTCAAGTTCCCCATTCAATGTAAAATTATGATTACTAAATGATTGATAGACTAAATGTGAGGTTATATTACTGGCAGAGATAATAAGTATATTTATAGCACTATTGGAGTCAATCTTAAATGATATATTAAATGTTAGTATATGACTTCTCCCTCATGTCTCACCAATATGCTTCATTAATTTATTTGAATTGATTTGTTCTAATATTTTGATTTATCTAGGCCCAGTTGATACTAGAGTTACTATGGATTGGCAAATCCTGATGGTGAAGCAGGGGATCTTGTTTACATAGAGTGCAGATTCTGCCTATTGAATTTTGTTGTTAAACTTTTTCTTCATTTGTGCAGGCCTGGTATGCAAAGTAAAATTGTGATATCAGGAGGTTCTTCTGTACAACCATCAACGATTTTCGATGATCCTAATGTGGTCACAAGGTTTCCTATCCCTAATGAACAAGCTATAAGGAAGAAAAATGTCAAACGACCAAGTGGTAGTCAATTGGGAGAAATAAAGTTAACTGGAAATGGGGTGATCGATGAAGGTTTTACAGGTTTACCCCACCGATGGGTGGTTTGTCTTCCAGGTTCATAAAAAAAAGTTCACTGGAAATGACATGGAAGTAAGGGCCACTGCAGAACTACCATTTCAGGCACCACAAATGCAATTCGGAGGAAAGACATTGGTTCTTGCTAAAGACTTACAACAACAGAGAGACAAAAGGGCTACTAAAATGAAGAATAGTGTTATTGGCTAGAATTGTTGTATCAGTTCAATTTCAAAGTGTATAATTTTTTGCTTATAGAGTTCATTGGAATCCATGTTTTTTGGTAATATTTTGTTAACGGTCCACCATTTTTGCTTAGAGTCTTCCAGTTTAGATTGGAAGTATTTTGTAGTATTGTCTCCAAGCCTAAAAGAGAAGGGTTGCTATAACTTTATACTTTTGTTTACATCTTAAATTCAATTTAAACTGCAGAAGATGGGTTTCATTTTATCTTTATCTTTTTAAGTTTGCATTCATGCCTTTTTAGCTTACTGGAGTTAGGTCTCTTTATCTTTTTAAGTTTGCATTCATGCCTTTTTAGCTTACTGGAGTTAGGTCTCTGTTTGTTTGAGATGGTGTGTAGATTTTCTACTTTTTGTATTTCATTTGATATAGGGCAAGAGCCTTTACAAATTACAAGTGGTGCAAATGTTGGCAGAAAATGCAATCTGAAATCTGCACTATGGACTATTACAATATATAAACTGTTATTTGAAATCTGCACTTGGCTTTTCAAAATTCTGCACGTATGCTTTCAAAAATCTGCACTTAGCCTTTCAGAAATCTGCACTTGTCCTTTCAAAAATCTGCACGTAATTTTCAAAAATCTGCACTTGGCTTTTCAATATTCTACACTTAGCCTTTCAAAAATCTGCACTTAGCACTCTCAGAATTCTGCACTCAGCCTCTCAAAATCTGCACTCTCAAAATCTGCACTCTCAGAATTCTGCACTCAACCTCTCAAAATCAGCAGTGAATGTAAATTCAGCTTATAGAAGATGGCATTGACCACAAGTACCATGAAGGTAAAAACGCAAAACAAACATTTAGCCTTTCAGAAAGTTGTAGAAGATGACACATTGAGCAAAAACTTCCTGATTACAGAATACAAAATGCTTTTTCAACAACACACACCTAATTATAGCATCCCATTACATGGACAATACACCCAAGAACATCTACCACACCTCACTTTTTCATTATAAGGACAATTGCCAAGACTATCCAACTAATAATAGCAAAGATTAATAATGCTGTATTTTTTTTTCCTTTACAATTTTACTCTCTCCAAACGTGAAGGTCTCTCTTCATTTGCTCGGTTCTGTTTAATACACCCACAATTCTTCGACTTCTTCCACCCCCTTTACTCTCCAAACTGCGGAATGGCTGCAAAATGAATAAAATTAATATGCCAAAAAATACAAAAATTTGCACAAGAAATATACTAATTAACAATATACATACCTACAACCACACGTGCCTTTTCAATCCTAACCACATCGAAGCTTAGATGTAGCTTCTCTTCTCTCAGTAACAAATGGGCCATCTCACCGCTGGAAATGCTAAGCATATGCATCAACTCATTAGGGTTGATGGAAAAGCGTCCACCAACAGCACCCTAAACAATAAAATTTCATCAAAAATAGCTTATGAATTCTAACGATTAGCAAACTACATTTGACAGTTTACTTTATATGCTCTATTAACAAATGGCAGCAACAAATTTACCTTTGAAACAAATTTGGGCTTCAAACATTCTTAAAAACATATGCTATCAAAAAACTAGAGTGATAATCCTTAAATATATTCTACCCTGACATTAAGCATGCACAACATATTTGATTTCACAAAACTCATTTCAGTTCAGTGTATAGTCGAGATGCATATATTTAGTGATAGTTAATCATCAATTATATTGCAAGCACTTTTAGGTTTTGTATGGAATTAAAAATGGTGGACCAATGTTGGGCTTGAGATATCATTATACATTTTAAAAATTAAATAAATGTTTTAATGACTTTAAGACCAGAATGATTAGATCATAGGCTAGACCAAACTATATATTGCAACCCAGATGCATATATAGTACAGGGTATGGAGTCGTTGAATGTATGGACATTTTAGTACTGCCAATCTCATTTTCTTGAGATGACAATTTGTTAACGTCATGTATGCTAAGCATATTTAATTTACCGACCTTAAAATCAATTTGTTTGTCAATGTCTGTCAAATACGGCACACGCATCTGATAGTTGTACAGATTTGTGTACCAAACCCATAAATCCAATTGCAGATTCTATGTATAATTATAGAGCATAGAAATAATATATACAATATTTAGGCATCTATGAAAATGTGTTCAAAAGTGTACATGACAAAGGTTAAATATTAAAATGATACTCCGTGCATATGAACAGGTTGATATGTGCACCCCAAAACAATTCAGATTTACTCAACTATGTTGATATGTTTAAATCTGCATTTTATTTTCAATCATTCACTCATTGTACCATACGTTTTTAACCATAAATCGGTGTGTATATCTACATCTGAAAATCAATTATTAGGACCATTGCATTGACTGGTAGGTGAAACTGAAAAAAGACACTCTTGTACTCCGTATATCATTTTGGCTTGGCGTAAAATGTGAAACAAATTGCATAAGCATTAAGCAACAAACCAAAGAAAACCGAACTCCAATTCCCAAAGAAAAGAAACACAACATAAGTGTTCAAAATCAAAAGTGATAAAAACATAACCGTCCACAAAAATAACAAATCCAGGATGCAGATGTTAGAGATATACCCAAATCACGAGAGGTTAGTAGACATGGTATGAGATCCTTCGGTGATCCCTCAACCATCGTAGAAACGCCATCGGTCGGATAAGGTAGCATGTAACAACAAATTGCAGCGATTTCACAATTTAACCATGGATATGTCGGATGTTGATAAGCTCGTAGTTATCAAGATCCTAAATTTTAGGATCTACACTTGTAGTTTCTTACTTGTACATCTGTATAATACCCTAGCCGATTGGCATAATAAATCAAGAAAGTTTTATTCCTAAAACCTACATAAATAAATTAAAAGGTACACTAACCACTCCGTGCAATGGATATCTCGTACGCACTGTTGTCTGAGCATAAAAAACGAATCCATAGTGGGGACGCACGACAATGAAATGTGGCCCCATATAGCCAGATAGTCGTGCAAAGGTGTCGTAGAGTATAGTAGTCGGGATTTGCCCCTCATCACCTAGTCCGATGAAAGAGACCATGTCCACATTCAACTGTGTGACTGGGATGATAGCATGATCCACAGGTGGGAAGTGTGGCACAATAGGCTCTGCAAAATGAAATAGGAATGGGTCAGTACATTAATATTAGCTGATTACACATGTCTTTAATAACCCTTCTATCTCCATCTTGTGACATAGCCAGAGTTACGACAACATCCTCTGCTCTTCATACAAAGACATGTTCCTTTTCAAGCTATATAGAACAATCAATGACATGGGTAGGACTTAAGGTTATGCTTGACAAACACATATTTTAAGCCCAATAAAGTAAACACATATTTATTAAGCATCTCTTAGTAAGCATTAGCTTATTAAGCCATGTTTTACTTAGCACCATTTAGTATGCAATGAAATAAACATGTCCTAACAGATCAGTCTTCAAAGCAGTAATTACCTTGAAAATCGAGTCTGATGGACTCATGTTGGAGCTTCAGTGTGACCGAGTCAAAACCCAAACCCAGAAGAAAGGCCTCCACAGCTATGTCCATAGAAATGCCAACTGCAAAAGAGTTGTCCTGGTTAGATGACACTGACGACCCAGCACCAACCGAAGCAGATGAGTCAGAATGTCCGGAAGGCGCTTCGCCTGAAGTGGTGATTGGATAGGCTGGGCAGTAAAATGTGACGGTCATGTTGACCCCTCTTCTCTGAAAATAAACAACCCCCATGGGGAATGACCATCCCATCACATCACTGTCTTCTAGCAGGGCTGTATCCATGTCTCTGAGCATCAGCATTGGGTTTCTGATTTCATAATCTGCTAGCCTTATGCGACAAGGGTAAGAATTAGCCATTCTTACTCTCCGAAGATTTGGATGAAATGACTTGCGGTTCCGCACTCAACCCTATTTGGGGCGTGTGGCGAGCACATTCAAACGGGCCGAATGATTCGCTCGGATTATGGGTGGGGCTTTTTGATACGGCTCGGAAATTTGTCGTATCCTCAGCTTAGGTTCCTGCGCCTCCATCTTTTCTGCTCGGTAGAAGTTTGTTGAACGGAAGATTACGGTTGTTTTGAGTATGATAGTCAACCATAATTACTGGTAATAAAAAAAATAAAAGCCATCCGAATCCCCTTCTGGATGCATTAATAAATACTCCGTAATAATTAGTGTCATGGGAAGTAGTGCCAATCACTTCCACGTTACTAATTACGGAGTAAATGTTTGCAGCTTTGTTTTTCGATAACTTTTATTTACTAAATACTCCGTATCTTTTTTAAAGGATTGGCTAAATTTGTTTAATAAGTTGTTCAATTGATATGTAGAGCCCGTTTGGAGACTTCGTTTTTCGGCTTATCAGGCTTATCAGCCATCTTTTTCACCAAACACGTAATTTTTACTTTCGCATGCTGAATTGTGTAATAAGCAGAAAAAGTAAGGTTGGAGTTACTTTTCTGGCTGTATTGGCTGAAGTTACTGTAGATGAACATTTTAGCTATTTTTACATGTAATTTTTTCTTTATTTTATTAATAAAATATATTTTTAAAATATTTTTTTCTAGAATCAGCAGAATCAGCCAAAACAGCCACTTCAGCCAGAACTTCATAAATTTCAGCAGAAATAGCCAAAACAGCCGATTTTTGTGCTACCAAACGGACTCGTAATGTATTAGCCGCGTAAATATGGCTGGGATTGGCTTTTAATAATATGACTTTTAATAAATTGTACAATAAAAATTTGGGATTGATTTTTCAGAGCATAATGTTCTATAAAGTACTTTGTACTAACAAAAATATTTCTCATTATATATATATAAATATTTTGTCACGCATTTGTGTTTATAGAATATAATTACAAACTTTTGTAAACATCCAATAAGCAAAAACATATTGATAGTTTAGCTTCAAATATCAAAATTTCCACTCTTGTTCAAGCCTATTCTATTTAAATTTAATCTGATTTGGTCTTCTTCTTTTTTAAATTTGTTCTCTTCTAGCTTATAATTGAAACCGTTCTAATCAAAATATCGTAAACGTTCTAATATGTGTTAAATAAAATCCCGCCAATTTCATATTACAATTATTATTTTAATTTGAAAATTTTCAAATTACTCCACAATACGAAGTGTGTGACTATTTACTACTACTACTATTATTACTAATTGCTAACTATTATTGTATCTCTTACTAAATTTTCACCTGTGTGAAGCATGGGATACAGTTAGTGAGTAATAAATATTTGGAATATATATAAAAACTTTGTAATGGAGACAGACCGATGCATTTATTATTTTTAACAAAAGCAAATGAAGATTAACAATTATAAATTATTATATACTTCCGTGAGAATAACATTTAAAGTCTTGTTGGCTGGTTTTTCGTCATGATCACATATAATAAACTTCAACCTAGACGGTGACGTTACTGTTGGGACAACGCCATAAAGGTCACATCAACTCTCTCCAAAAAGTGATCCTTGCTCTTATCAATGGTCATCGTGTAATTAAGTATTAAAGGAACTGTCTACGCTATGTGTGAACGGAAGCTTTAGGTCAGATGGAGTCAATCTAAGCTTCAGAATACACAACTTTTGTCCTCCATTTGTTCCAAACATCATCTTAGCCTTGAGAATACGGGTTCCGAGTTTAGTGAAGATAAGGTGAGTTTTTTTTGGGGGGGGAAGGGGGGGGGTAGAGTTCCAAAACCCGGGGTTTTGGGGGTAGGGGCCAAGGGACACCTCACCTATTTAATGAATAGAAAAGAGTACAAGTAGTAGGAGGACTATGCCAAAGCCTACTAAAAAAGATTACATAACCAAAGGATAACTAATTGCATCAAATTTAAGAATGCCAACAAACTGATTAAAATGATGTGTTTTGGTTTTGATAGACACGTAACGATAAGAAAAGACATCAGCAGCCCTATTGATTTTCGGAGTGATGTTTTGAATAGCCCAGATGATATCTCGGAGTTTCGTTTTTATAGTGCGAATGCGGGACCAATATTTCCAGTGCTGGATGGAATGCCCAATGGTGTCGTCATGTACCTCTATGTTATCAACCTCAAGAATAATTTTATCAAAATTATAAGAGGTGATAATAATAATCATATCATAAAGAGAAAGAGAGAGGTCAGAGTGCTTATCGATCTTGGTTAAGTGGGTAATGTAATTCCCAGAAGCATTGCGTACCAGGGCCACAGTACGAATGAGGTTGGTACTAAGGTTACGGGAGGCGAGGTTGATTTTGAGGTAATTTGTTGGAGGTTTGTGCCAGTGATTAGCAGAGGGCCTTTTGTCACTATTCTTAGGTTGGATGGTAAGGGTGTTAACGGGGGGTGTAGGGTGGTAGTGATAAATGGTTTGACAACCTGATACGCTTGTAATTTCCATATGTATGTGTATGTTTTTAGTTAGTTTTTGTTGTTTGATACTTTGGAAATTACACACTTTTAGTGTAATAGTTATGTTTGTGTAATATTTGTAATTTGTTTGGATTAGGTTCATTCTGAGCTATTTCATATGTTGATCAAACTAGGGATCGGAATAGAGCAAATCGGCGATTGAGTGTATGACGGTGAACTCCAAATCGGAGGGGGAAGGCCCTCCTCCTCCACCGATCAAAGGCTGGGGAGGGCGTTCTTTTGCTTCAGTGGTCGCGGGAGAGCAGTCTGATCAGCAATTATCAGTGAAGACGCCTTCAAGATACAAGGGAGCTCCTGCGGTTGTATTTCCGGATGGGGACGTTCACATCCTGTCTGCTAAACATCGGAGAGCATTGGTAGGTTACTTCTTCAAAGGGCGCCCATCTATGCCAACTCTTCGGAAAGCGTTTGAATTGATAGGTTTCAAAGGTAAATTTCAGCTTGGGATTTTGGAAAAAAAGCATGTGTTAATAAGGTTTGAATTAGACGATGATTATTTACGCTGCTTTAATCGACAAATTTGGGACATTTTTGGTTATGCTATGAGGGTGACAAAGTGGACACCGGATTTTCAACCGAATATTGAATCCTCGGTGGTACCAATTTGGCTGAGCTTTGAAGGACCTCCTATCCATTTGCATGATCAAAGGGCAATGTTTGACATTGCTAGACTTGTTGGTCGTCCCTTGAAGATAGATGCTGCTACAGCATCTCTGTCTAGACCCTCTTGTGCTAGGGTGTGTGTTGAGGTGGATTTATTACAAGAGATGCCAAATAAGCTATGGATCCAATGTGGATCTAGGGGCTTTTTTCAGTCTGTGGTCTATGAGAATAGACCGTTTTATTGTGGTAATTGTCTCCACTTGGGCCATTCTACAAACTCATGCGCTAAAAGAGATGCTCCTATGAATACTGGCCAAAGTGGGAATGTAGACAAGTGGGTTGTTAAACCAAAGGATGAAATTAATCCTAAGGTGATGCGGCAAACAATTACTAAGCTTGTTATTACAGACAGGGATAAGAGGGAAAAGGAATTGGAAAAAAATACTTCAAATCATTACATTCCAATAGGAGATAAAGGTAAAGGGGTGATGGTTGACTCTCAACCGGTTATTCAAAAATTGACAGTTGCTGATATTCCCTCAACTTCCAAAAACATTCAGGACCTTAAGGCAGATTCTGAAACTGAGAGTGAGGAAGTATATGTAGAGGACATACAGGAGAAGGACCCAGATCCACAGTTTCAGCAAGACGACTTTGAGCAGCCCTCACATCAGAATTCAGGAGACATTTTAGAAGGAATTCTGCCTTCTGAGATTTATCGGACTGATAGAGCTATGGATGACTACAACCTGATGCAGATTGGCAAACGAAAAGAATATGATCCTTCTTTATATGCAAAAGGATACTCATCAGATGGGGATGGGGGTTTCATTGACAATATCCAGATATGGAAAAAAGGACAAGCAATACTTACTAAAAAAGTGAATGCTTTGTCTCAAAGAAATCCCACCAGCCAGGAAGACTCTGAACTGATTGCAAACCTGGGAATAGCGTATAACAACACAAATGAAGGTTATATTACAGTAGCAAGGAAAAAGAAGAAGAAACAACCAATTCAGGTGGTCCCGGACACTCCTAGGATTACTAGGAATGCAGCAAAAAAGCTGGCCCAAGCTTTTTCTGCCATTCCATGATGAATTGCATCATTTGGAATGTTCGTGGTCTTGTTTCTTCCTGTTCAAGACTACAGAATCTTATCAGACAGTGGAGAATATCTTTATTAGTTATTATTGAGCCTATTATTTCTTCTAATAGAATAAATGAGTTTGCATCTCAAATTGGGTTGCAATCTACTTTTTGCTGTACAGAGAATAAAATTTGGCTTTTTTGGGACAAATCCAAATTGAATATCTCAGATATAACAACTGACAGTCAATATATTCATATGAAAGTTCATTATGATTCCATGGCTTTCTGGTTTACCTCTATCTATGGAAGTCATAGTTATATTGAAAGAAGGACTCTTTGGCAGTTTCTGATTAGTTGGGCAGAATCTAATTCAGATCCTTGGATGGTGGGAGGTGATTTCAATGCTATTGCTTATCAGAATGAACACAAAGGACAGAGTACACCCATGATGAACTCCATGACTGATTTTAAGAACTGTCTGGCCAACTGTGATTTTATTGATTTACCTTTTCTAGGCTCTCCTTTTACCTGGTGTGGGGTTAGAGCTAATGGAAGGGTGTGGAGAAGACTGGATAGGATCCTGTTTAACTCTACCTTTTTGGACCTCTATGATACTATCCAGATTAATCACCTCAACAAGACTTCTTCAGATCATTCTCCAGTTCTGCTACATTGTAAAAATCAATTAGTGGTAGGTCCAAAACCATTCAAGTTTCAGAATATGTGGATATCACATCCTGAATTTACATATTTGGTCAAGAAAGAATGGGAATCATGCAATACAGGGGGTGGTATGAGGGGCCTATATAACAAATTGCAATCATTAAAAAAGGCTCTAAGGCAGTGGAATAAGGATACTTTTGGGGATATTTTTCAAGATATCAGAAAGTTAGAGGCTGAAGTTAATGATGCAGAAGTTCTATTTGATTC